GCAAGGCGCACGGTTTTGATCGCGCGAGGCCCGTGTGTATTACGTTTACGATAACACGAAATTACACAACGGGACGTGTGCGTGCGGACCGCGCCGCTGACCGAACGTGGACCGAAAAGTAACGAGGTCGGCCTTCCAATTGCCGTTTCGGTTCAGTATTTTCAGCTGGCTGTCATTGACTTTTACCATCTCGGTGACCGCTGCCGCCGACGACAACGCCGCTGCCATTGGCTGCGTTTTACTTTCTAGAACCGTTACGGGCCGCGACCATAATCGTTGCACCCGCCGTAATTATCCCCGAAATTCCTGCGCCGCGCGGCTGCACTCGCGTCCGAAATTTTGACGGTTCGTCGCGGAGCTGTGCTTCGCAAGCTCTCTCGATCGCTCAGGGTGATAATCGGACCGCGAATCTTCGTGTAAAATAAAAATTGTCCGCATCGATTGCAAGATGTGGGAGCCGTGCGAAGCCTCGTTTCTCTCTTAAATCGTTTAAATTAAATGAAATAGTTGTAATCAAGGTATCAATAATTCTAGTTTCTTTCGCAGTCGAAATTGTTTCGGCAAACGCGAACTTTATGTCACTGCTAGAAATACGCGAGATAAATAAATGAATTACTCCAAGGGACAATTGGTATTTAGTATAAGTTCAAGGTGATCGATAACGCATCCTTCAAAGTGTAACCATGGGCATGGAGGAAGTACAGACGGAATTAGTAAAATGTCACACACTATCTGCCAAGTTTAACATATTCAACGCGTTTATCGCTATTTGATATACATAATTCTAGACGGGTCCGAAAGTTTCGAAACATTTACAAGAAACACTTTGCTTAACCCTCCAAATTTCGCGAAAAATGTTTCATTTTAAACTCCGTTACATTTTTTCATTTTTCTTTCGTTCCTCTTTCTACGTACTTTTTAATCCGATTATTCGAACGCATTCGCGCGTCGGATAAAATGCATGAAAAATGAAAAACTCGACCGCTGTTTGAAGGATAAGGAGTTTTTCCCAAAATTTTGCCTCTCCGGGTCGACAAAATTTTTCCGGGCGGCTTTCGAGAGACAAGAATCCGATCAAAAATGTATCAAGAATATGAATTTCAGCGAAGAAGCTTTTTAAATTGCAAATATGTACGTGGCCGTCGTGCATCAATTAGACGTGTTGCCGGTGACTTCATTCGCTGTTACGTTCGAAGATAGCGCAAAATTTTCGTCATCGAGTTACGGTGATCGCGCATCACCATTAGACCGCATGTTTTGAAAAAGCGCGGTTAAACAAGGTTGTACGACTCTTTTGAGACGAGTGACTTCGCTAATTGCAGTACCCTGAAAGAACGAAGCCCATAAAAGCAGAACTTTGCATAGACATCCGCAGTCCATTGATCACGTTTACTTTTGAACGGTACCGAACGCCGCCATCTTGTTTCGTTGGTCACTCTCTGGACTTTGAACTTCCACTATTTCTCGCTGTGACGAAGCGAGCGAGCGAGCGCGCGCGCGCACGTGTCTGTGTGTGGCGACAGCGTGGAACGATTGTCAGACGTTTACGGGAACTGTGGGAAGAGAAGTTTTCCTTTCGAAGGAAAGCGAATCTCATGGGATGGTGGACAATCCTGAATTCGCAGGCTGCCCCACGCGATTGCTCGGATTTTCCATTGTGCGCCGCGAGAAAGTATATTTCTCGGGATCTTTCACATCGCGGTCGTCCCGCGTCGAGCGCGATTTCTGCGCGAGACCGAAACGATAATTAACCTTTCACAGATTCGGATCGCCCCCTTTCACGGATCTGCGTAGCTTCGCGCCCCCAAACAATGCCCATTCGAATATTTACGACGTACCATTCATCCAGGCTAAGTTCAAGAAGACGAGTTCAAACGATTTATCCAGCTCTGTCGAAGCTTTTTTCCTTTCGCGAATAAAATTATGGTATATAGTATAGTGCTGGCTTTACAGAATATGGATTTATTTCTATCTCTGCGAAATGCCAGTGGAAATTATCTGAAACATTTCCGCTGCAACAACCTACCTAGTGAAAATTGAAAAATTAAATTGCATGACATCAGTTACTTTCTCAATTACATACTCATGCTTGAATACTTTAAAAGATGCTAACAATGTGGACGCATTTATTTGAATTTCTTAAAATGATCAAAGAAGGACAAACTCTTGCGATTGTCTCCTACGTCTTACAATTGATGCAGACAATTTTTATGAAATAACAGACTAGCTTAAAAATCATTTTTGCAGATCTAAACAAATAATTCCTATATACGGATTACGCGGCTGTTAAACTTGATCATCCCACCACAGTGCCTCGCACTGTTCCGTAAAATCATTTATACGTGTCAAAGTCTAAGGTTTATAGAATATGCACAATTTTTATCTTCATAGAATATTAATCCTAACAATGCCTACGTCACCGTCAAAAAGATCAAACACCAACATGAGAAAAAGCTATCGAGAAGGACACAAGATCTCGCGTGTGAAAGGGGCGGATAAATTCAGCAGAATCATGTTGCAGATTTTCTGCGTTAGATCGACGAGAGTGGCTGAAAATTCGCAGCCGGATCTCGGAGTTTCTCGAGGATGATGATCATCGACGGAAAGTGAAACGCGATCTGCGTCTAGAACGACCGCTTCCCGGACTCTCGATCGATTAAGAGTGAAGAAACCGTGTCGGGATCGTCACGGCGCGATCTCCGTCCATCTATCCGTCGATCGCGCGGAATTCCTCGACCGGAAGGAAGGATCCGCGCGGATCCGGTGGCCGGAAACGGTCTCGCGGATCCGCGGAACGCGAGGCCCGCGAGCCGCTATTTTCGATTTCACTGCGCCGCGGATTGTCAAAATGCTTTGGTAACGGGGCCTAACACGCGTGCGTCGTCGCTTTCTCTATTCGGCCTGCTCGACGAAGGAAACAGCTGAGTCACCGTCGACGCGGATTAAATCGCGGTTTCAATCGAGGCGTCCCGCGTCGATCGCCGCAGCCTCCGCGGTAAAATAATTAGCCGGCCGCGGCGCGATCGAGATCGATAGATCGGCGCGGTTCGGTAGCTCCGCGGCCGTCGATCCATCAGCGATCCGATTGCGAATTCCGCTCGCGGAACCGCTCGATCGATGACCCGCCCGGTGCCGGAATATTTCTTAGCAGCGCGTTCCTCGCCTCTCGTTAATTATTAATTACAGAGGAAACGATCGGAAGAATTGCGCTCCCGGCCCGAATCGCCGAGAGAGCAACCGGCCACGCGTTCCAGCGAATTTCTCTCCGGCACGAGCACTATCGTCCGCTTCGTGTTACTTTTCACTTTTTCGAGTTGTTTTCCTAAAAAGAAAAAAACCAGCCGTTCTTGCCGCGTTATTTCCACGCGTCCGATTCGACGATCCGAGTACTCGAGGCAAACCGTTGATAAAATAGAATCTCGGCAAAAAGTTGATCGTGCATGAATTATAGTTTCTGAAACGTTCCGACAGCTTGTTCGTTCGCTTAATCTCCTTCGATAATTCTATTCATATGTCCGAACACGTTATCGTGTTTTTGTTGCGTATAACAAACGTTATGTTCGTCCCGTTAAAACACGAATAAACATTCTTGCTGTTATTACTATTATTTAAAATCGGCAACGAGTGCGTAAGAATTCGTATAGAAGCCTTGCAACCATTAATATTCATCGATACTTAATCCTCTGTTCCCTAATCAACTCGTACCAAGCGGAACGATCGGTGAAAACGTGATAAAAACTCAAACTGGAACGTGTAAAAATCGAAGAAAAATCGGCAGAATGTTTAGCAGAGAAAACAGGTTCTATTTGTTGTTTCATTGCGGCACAGAATTGTTTCGATCAGAGGAATCGGACGAGCGCTCGGGAACCGGAGAAAAATCGACGAAAAATCGGGGATACGCCGACTCGTCTTCTCGGGCCAGTCCGGGGCCCGATCGAGACCGCGATTTTGCCATCATCGCTTTCGAATTTCCTGCGGCGAGGCCGGCTTTGGTAACATCGACGGTTTCTCACTTTTCAACGGAAGCGAAGGGGCCACCGGGCGAACGACTAATGGTCACCTTACGCGATCGGACTCGTTCTGCTTTTCGCCGAACGATCTCGAGCCACGTTGTGGGAAAATCGTGGTTACGGTTTTCTCCTCCCACCATTTTTGCCGGCGCGAACATTTTCTAGAATCTTGGAAAATCGGGGGAAACTCGTACTCTCCTGGAACGAGCCTCTTTGCGCGCTGAACAGCCCATTTCGAACCAATGCCGATCGTCTTTCAAACCGCACGATTTCAAACATCGTCGATTCGTTTAATCGAGGTTTAATCTTTCCATCAGTTTAATTAAATTCTACACAGAGCGGAATTAATGCAAATCATATTATTTGAACATTACGGAAACTAGACACCTGTCGGTGTAATTGTTTCCAGAGAAGTTAATTGAGAAAAGTTTAGGTCTTTCTAAAGGTGAACGAGGAACGAAATTGTACAGTAAATTCTCTGTAATTGACTCTCGGCTTGTACACAAAAACGGGCAATTTGGGAAGAGAAGATACCGAGTGTCAACAATTAATAAAAACGAGCCGCAGTGCTCGTTTGATAATAATCGCATCTTTCCTTCCCAAATTGTCCATTTTTATTTCCAAGCCGACGGTCAATTAGGCAGAGTCCACAGTACTACCATTCCTCGAGGCAGAAATGGAGAGTCTAAAACGGTATCTTCCTAATCACTCCTGCTTCTACGAATATTTGCCTTCAATCTGCTAAACGCTGTAAATCTCATTATCCATATCATCGCCTTGAGAACCTTCGGGCCACCGATTTGCATCCTTATCTCCGCTAACAGCCAGCGAGAAATTTGCCTACCAAATCAAAACAGTTTCTCGCGGGCGTTTTAATGCGACTCGAGTTTCGCGATTCAACGAATTCCTTAGAACGGACCCAACGAGGTGTCTGTTCCGTAAAATCTCGTTGCTGTAAATTTCACGAGAAATTCGAACGGGACCGCATACCTTCAGCTAGATGCCTCGAGATCCCGATTAATCCTGTCGAGGTTGCTGGGACCGCGATCTCCTCGGTGCGCTAATCCTCTAAGTGTAATCCTGGCCAGGCCCGGACGTCATCGATGGAGGACTATTATTGACCGGCAGCATCGGTCCTCCGCTGGGACTGTCATGCGTCTCGTATCCTGGCTACCGTCAATCAAACCGCGAATAGAGCGATCGAAGAAGAATGATCACCAGAGCACACAAAATACACAATCCCGACTTCGGCTATTGACGGCAGAATTTTGTGAAAATAAACCGGCGGCGGAACACGGCACAGCGGGGGCGTATATATCTGTTTTCCACGGAATTCTCTATCTCTCTCTTTCCCGGTCTCTGTTGCTCTCGCTGATCGATAGTGTCGAGGGTTCGAGCCCCGAGAGTGTTTGCTACGTGTTGGCTGATGATACGCTGGTTCGTGGCGGCTCTCGTCTTGTCCTCCGCGACTTTCGAGTCCTGACGCGAGACTGAGGCGGTCACTGGCGAGTCGAATCAAGCCCCGCGACTCGACTCCAACCTGCCGCGTCTCTTTCTCCCTCCCTCTTTCTTTCTCCTTCCATGTCTTTCTCTCTCTCTCTCTCTCTCTCTTTGTCTCTCTCTCTCTCTCTCTCTTTGTCTCTCTCTCTCTCTTTGTCTCTCTCTCTCTCTCTCTCTTTGTCTCTCTCTCTCTCTCT